ATATTGTGTAAGGAGGAAGTGAGAGGCGATGGGCCAGACCCTTTTAGGTTTGAGAATATGTGGCTACTTCAACTAGGGTTCATTGAGAAAATCAGAGAGTGGTGGGAGCACTGCAATCCTTCGGTAATTTGGGAGGGGATAGGATTCCACAAGAAGTTACAATTTCTAAAATCTCAGATAAAAGAGTGGAACCTCTTGGAGTTTGGGAGATTGGAGGAAAGAAAGAAAAGTTTGATGGAGTAGATTGAGGATTTGGATACGAAAGAAGATAGGGGATCTTTTGGAGAGGCAGACAGGGAGACTAGATGGAATTTGAGAAGGCAACTAGAGGACCTTCTGCATAAAGAGGAAATAAGTTGGAAATAGAAATCGAGGTGCAAATGGTTAAAGGAGGGAGATAGGAATACTAAATTCTTCCACTCTGTGGCAAATGATACTAGAAGAAAATAATTTTATTTCAAAATTGGAAGTTGAGGGTGTAGTGTTATCCGAATCGATAGAGATAACCCAAGCCTTTGTAAATCACTTCAAATCCATCTTCAAAAGGTCTTTAAATGGAAGGGTTTGGGTAGATGGATTGGAATAGCCGAATGTGGGAAAAGAGAGAAGGGAGTGGTTAGAGAGGAGTTTTGAATTGGAAGAAGTAAAGGAAGCAGTTTTCTCAATGGACAGATCAAAGGCTCTAGGCCCTGATGGCTTCACAATGGCTTTCTACCAAGACTGTTGGGAAATTTTGAAACAGGATTTGATGTCTGTTTTTTATGAGTTTCATAGAATGGGGGTAATTAACCCAGGGTTGAATTCCACATTTATTACTTTGGTCCCAAAGAAGAAAGAGGCTTCACACCCAAGGGATTTTAGGCCAATTAGTTTGGTAAACAGTTTGTATAAAATAATTGCAAAAGTTCTTTCTCTTAGGATTAAGAGAGTTCTCCCTTCTATTATTGCACCCAACCAAGGTGTGTTTGTGGAAGGAAGACAAATCATTGATCAAATCCTGATTGCAAATGCAAGTCTGGAGAGCTTTAGGAAATCAAAAAAGAAGGGAGTGGTTTGCAAACTAGATCTAGAGAAGGCATATGACCTAGTGGATTGGTCTTTTTTGCTAGAGGTGTTGAGATGGTTTGAGTTTGGGAACAAATGGTGCAAATGGATCTGGGGTTGTATTAGAAGTTGCCATTATTCTATTTTGGTTAATGGAATTGTGATTGACTTCTTCCCTGCCTTTAGAGGGACAAGACAAGGTGACCCTCTCTCCCCTTTTTTGTTCACCCTGGTTGCAAATGTCCTTGGGAGATTAATTCAAAGAGCTGACTCAAGGAACTTATTGAGAGGTTGGAGAGTAGGAAGGGAGGAAGTTCCACTCACCCACTTGCAATTTGCAGATGATACTATCATTTTTTATGAAGGTGGGGACATAAATTGGGTGAGAGGTTTAAAATTGACAATACAACTCTTTGAGCAAATGTCTAATCTTAAGGTGAATTTTGATAAGAGTTGTATCGTGGGAGTAAACATGGAGGAGAGGGTGGTAAGAGAATACGCAGGTTTGCTAGGTTGTGAAGCTTTGAACTGGCTTTTGACTTATTTAGGCCTCCCCTTAGGAGATAACCCCAAGAAAGAAAGCTTCTAGAACCTGGTGATGGAAAAATTCAAAAAAAGACTTGCTTCTTGGAGGAAAAATTATCATTCTTTGGGGGGGGGGAGGATAACTTTGATTAGGTCTATCCTAGCTAATCTACCTATTTATTTCTTGTCTGTGTTTAAGATCCCCACTAAGGTCTCCAATAGGCTGAAAAAGTTGATGAGGGACTTCTTATGGGAGCCAGGCGATCAAAAAAGGGACCATAGAGTGGGTTGGGAAGTGGTGACTAGGAGTAAGAAGTTAGGTGGTCTTGGGATAGGGGGTGTCAAGAAAAGAAATACTGCTTTGTTGGGGAAATGGTTGTGGAGGTTTCCTTTGGAAAAGGATAACCTTTTTTTTTTTTTTGATAATTATGGACAAAGATTGTGGCTAGCATTCATGGGCTCAAGGACAATGGCTGGGATCCTAGAATTCCAACAAGGTCTGTAGGTGCATCTCCTTGGAGAGCCATCCATGACATCCTTCCAGCTTTCTCCCCTTATAGCAGGTATGGCTTGAACTCAGGTAACCTAATAAAGTTTTGGGAACAAACTTGGATTGGGGATTCCCCTCTAATGGAACAGTTCCCCTCTTTGTATGCTCTTTCAGACCTCAAGAATGAACCTATCTCTTCTTTTCTTGTTCCATCAGACTCTTCTTCTAGGTTTGGGTGGAACTTGGGGTTGAGGAGGGCCATTAGGGTATACAGATTTGGACTCTTTGGTATCTTTGTAAAATACTCTTGAAACTGTTTTTTTGGACTCCTCTAAGGAAGACACTAGATTTTGGACACCCTCTCCCTTGGGCACCTTCTCTTGTGCCTCGTTCTTTGATACCTTATCTCAGCCTTCTGCTCCTCTTGGGTTGCCCTTCCCTGTTAGTGAGATTTAGAGCAAGCCCATTCCTCCTCGGGTTGGTAGTTTTTGTTGGGAAACTTTCTTGGAAAGAATCAACACAATTGATCTACTTCAAAGAAAGAGATCCAATCTTTGTTTATCCCCTAATAGGTGTTCCCTTTGCAAAGCTGATGGGGAAACTGGCTACCACCTTTTGGTTTCTTGCCATTTTGCTATGACTATGTGGGAGTGGGTTTTTTTCCCTTTTTTGGGTGTATTTGGGTTCCTCCTGTGGATGTGCAAAGCTTGTTTTCACCCTCCTTCTTCAGTTTGCCTAAGAAAAGAGGGAGAATGATGTGGAGATGCATTAGGGCAGCACTTTGTTGGTCTTTGGGGGAAGAAAGGAACTCACGTATCTTTTCTGACAAGGAAAGAACCTATGAGAGTTTAACAGAACTGATTCTGTCAAGGGTGGTCCATTGGCTGAAATCTGGGGACCTATTCACAGATGTCTCACTGGCTGACTTGATGAGAAACTGGAAAGAGATAGCTAACACTACCCAATTTAAGAGGTCTTCTAGCCCCTCTTGGATGTCCCCACCTTATGGATTCATAAAACTGAATATTGATGCCTGTAGTGTGGGGAACCCAGGGCCTTCTGGAATTGGGGGTGTGATCAGGAATGAGGAGGGGATTATTTTAGCTTTGTTCTCAGGCCCTATTGGAGAAGGAGACTCACTTAGAGCTGAGATCTTTGCGGCTCTGGAAGGTATCCAAAAAGCTCGGGATCTGAACTTCAGGAGGTTGATTGTTGAAGGTGATTCAGAGGTGGTGATTAGATGGGTAAAGGAAGACAACAGTGGCATGTGGAGGTTTAGCACTGAAAGGAAGAAATTCAAATGGCTTACTAGGGGTATTGAGGTGAAGTACAGATGGGTGAAAAGGAGTACCAACTCACTTGCTGGTGGTCTAGCCAAACAAGGGGCATATAGGGATTCTTTATTTTGGGCTATTTTCTAAGTTTTTCTTGTAATCTATTGTCGTACTTATATTTCTCGTACTTATATGGGGAGCTAAGACATTTTATCTCCCCCTTTCTCGTACTTATATTTCTCTTATTTAATAAAAGTTTTCAGTTACTGATTAAAAAAATAAGTGGTTAGTGAAGGATGGTGGAAAAGCCACTCTCCTTGATTTATAATTTTTCTAAGTTAACCTTAGTGGTCTCTACAAAGATCAGCTACCTACTACATTTATCAGATGCCTAATATATAATATCCATGATTGACATCTGAGGTTGCAGTTGAATTTTCTCTTTTAACTTGAGCAATCATAGAAACTCTTTTCCTCCACAGTTCATATTTGGGTCTTATTTCAATGGATGACAAGAATTTTTACTAAGAGAGAATTAACAATTATATGATTCTTGGATAAGACAATGCATACTAAAATTTGAGTTTCCAACATATTATGCACAATTCCAAATACTTCCCCAAAATCATTTAGAACAGATCTATCCAGCCCTTGGAAATCTTTTGATCCAATGTCCAGTCAAAGACAAAAGGGCCTATATTTGCACATTAATGCCTGATAGCTGCTTCTTCCCCTTGAATATCCTCTGATTCCATTACTTATGGATCCTCAATAACTGCAAAACGGATCACTGTCAAAACAATTATTGAGTTAGAGCCACAACTGAAGCCGATCAGCAAGATCATTCACATTTCAAGTTAAACGAAGTTTTCTGTATCAACAAGAAGATTTTCCAACGGTCCAGGATTGTCATGGAATTGAGTCAAATGAAGTCATGCAGTCCTGGTGACCTCACAAAAAACAAGGAATAACAGGGAGTAAAACATGTGGTCCACATTTTAGAATCTCTACTTCCTGATTTCTTCTTTTTTTATTGTCTGCACTTAATTTTAAAATTTTCCTCACTTGGGAAGTCAGGGTTTCTTTTTGTTTTAACTTCTATGCAACTCAGGTCAACTCAACTAAGCCTTGCCCCAATTATATGGCTGTTAATATTTTTTCCCCTTTCTTCTCTTCCTATCATCACCCACCCAGAATACTTTTTTGTAATATATGTTTTTCAAATACTAATTAGAGACAAAAAGGAAATCATGGCTGTTAGTATTGCAGTAAGCACCTTTAAAATGTTAAGCTCACCTTGTTTGCTTCTATGCTGTTTGTTTTTATATACTTCTTTGTTGATGCTCATTCTTTAACTTTTCAGAAGGCTGTATTTTATCCAGATTCTTTAAATTATATAATGTTTTGTGTTCTAAAAAATCAATCATTTGGTCTTCGAACTTTTCACATGACATCACAAGAAATATTTTGATTTAGGTAGAATAAAATCATTTGCATGGAGCTAACAGGATTGATGATCATTGTTTATTGGAGGGTCATACTTTGACAACAATTTGTATACTTTACATTATAGAGGAGAAACATTGTGTCTAACTTGATTTATTCCTTTTTGATGTGAAATTAACTCCACAAACTCTAAACTTACCCCTGGTTTTCTAACTTTACAGGAGATTGGAACCTAGGTCAAGAAGCTTGCTTTGCTGGAAAACATGTAGAGTAACTCGGGGCAAGGTAGTGCTTCCATGATAATAGTCTGCTGATCTTTTTGGAATGAAATTATCTTTGAGAATGGATCTTTAAGATTTTGAGTCTTTATTTCTTCCCTTAGGATCTTATTTGCTAGTGTAGTCTAATTTTATAGCAAATGAAGTTCACTTGCTAGTTTTTTCAAGTTGCATAAAAGTTCCCAACTGGAGTAATAAACATCATCTTCTTTTTATTAGAAATGATATGAAGTTGCAAAATATTCTGCAAGGGTATACCCTTGCTAGATATTATTACCAGAATTCACTAGTATGATCTGCTATGCTAAGATAATATATGGTTTTAGTCATGAAACATGATGAAACTAGGTGAAGTACCCAGTAAGGAAAATAGTCAACTGATCGGATGTGTATCCAGTCACCCCTCTCAACACCCCTGACAGACAAGACCAACACTGGGTAATATGTGTATATCTATGAATTTGCTTGTTCACTAATGATGCCGATCCCTTGCAGCTTTCACGTTTGAAAATGAGGACAAGGAGATCAAGTTCACTGCTGAAGCTTTTCCCATGCTCTAGATGTCTCTCTACAAAATCAAGGTGATTTATTCAATTTTACAAGAAAATTATGTCATTGCTGTAAAGGCTTTTCTGCATCACTGCAGTTGTATTACATGTATTTATTCATGCTTTTGCTGTTTATAAAGTCAATTGCAGCAGTCTGGTCCTTGTCAATAAAAGTAAAAAATTGTGTAGTCTTTGCTAATAAAGTTTGGCCTATGCCCATAATTATTTTTTCTTCCCCCTCTTTTAATTCTAATTCATTTTTTAAGTCATTTTAAATATCTTGACCGTCCAACAAAAACACCTGAAATGGAAATAAATAATAGCCCCAAGAAAACCTATACCTGTTTGAGAAATTTATGAAGGATATTATGTAAGCAAGGGTAAAGAGTGTGAGCCTTGGTGCAATGGTTGGGTTGCTCCATTATGACCTGGGTGACGAGGGTTTATATCTTGGAAACAGGCTCTCTGTGTATCTGCAGGGGTAAGGCTGCGTACATGGTGCATCTATCCCTCCCCAGATCCCATATTGGTGGGAGCCTCATGCACTGGACTGCCAATAGAAGAGATGTTGTATTCAATCTGGTGACTCCATATTGCATCATCAGACCATTCAATATTTTGATTGCAGTCTCATTACATGAGAATATGAGATGATTCTTTTGGTATATTCATATGAATATGCATGAGCAACCTTGGTTTACATGTACAAATATTTTATGCTCTTAGGGCTTACTCAACTGCAAATTTGTTTCTTGCTATATAGTACCTCCCTATTTCAAAGATTTTGAGATACAAGCTTCCTTTTCTTTGGGAGGGAGGGGGATAGGGGGAGAACACCCAATAAACTTTATGCCATAGAAGAGATGTTCATTTGATCTATCCCTCATTAAACTTTTGAAGGAAGCTAAAGGCTCAATACAGCAACTATGCAAGCCCTTATTATGTTCCGTATGCTCAATACGGCAACTATGCAAGCCCTTATTATGTTCCATATCTTGCTTCAATTTCATAAACATGTTAAATCATGTTCTTTGAAATGGTTTTGTTTAGCATTTTCCCTAGCATTAGAGATTCATAGTTGGATAATGTTTTCAGAAATGGATTTCTTTTACATAACTTTCCTAGCATAGAGTCAGGTGTTGTTGTTGCCCTTAACTTGCTTCAAAAGGAAGTTGGTTTGGACTTTGTGGAATTGCTATTGGACTCTTTCTTTTCGATGGAAAATCCTAAGAAAAGGGAAAAGATTCAGGATAGAAAGAATATCTTCAAGAAGTTTGAGAAAGGAAACAGAACAGAAATTTGGGATATAACTATGAAGGAAGCAAAAGCAGATCCAAATTACCATCCCCTAACCATGAACCCACAACCAACCTATACAAATCAAAACCATCTGCTTTGAAAGCAATTTTAAAAAAAAAACAAAAACATAGAAAACATGTTCTTGGTTGTATATGTGTTTTTTGTTTCGAAAACTAAAACAAGAAACGTGTCTCTAAATGCCTGGTATAAAAACATGTTTTCATCTGGTGATTGATATTGTTTTTCATGGATCATACAACTGTAGAGCAAAATGTGTTTTTTCTTGCTTGAGAAACCATTATTACTTTGATGGTTTGAAAAACATGGATTGTATTATGAAACAAAATCACCTTATTTTTGCTTCTTGAAACAAAAATGTAATTCAAGAACATGTTTCAATTTTTTGCTGATGTGGCAATTTTGTAAACAAGTGTAAACAAAAACATTCATGATTCATGTTGTAGGACACCCCCAATATGTTTCACATTTTCCTAAAACATCCAGGGTTAATTTCTTGTGGCAAGAGAGAATAGTCGAATAATTGGGTGTTTGATTTTTTTTTTCTTTTTGCTTTGTCTTCTAAAGTGCTATTTCCTGATTCTCTGCATGTTTCCACATGCTTGCATATGTGGTACGTTTATGCTAAAGGACTTCCAACCACTCAAAATGGTCACCTTCCCATGCTTTCGGACTTCCTCTCATGGGCATTGTAAATCCTTTGTTTGCCTAATAAGGAATAGAAATCATATCATTTCAGATTTCAGAACCTTGTTTTTGGTAGACGATCTCAGAACCTCAGTAATGCAATCATCCTTCCTTCTTGGACATCTAGTCTTAAAGTGCAGGAGAAAAAATATGATTGATGTATCCAGTTCGAGTATCTGGAACTGTATTCATGGCGTTTGTGAAAAGGAAGCATGTGATATACTGTCACAATCCCCTTTTCCTGTGTTTAATTTGTTCCTCTTCTTGTAATGTGTCCACAAGGTCATCAAAAGCTCCTGGTTTAACCCTTTTCAAGGCGCATTTCTGTGTAATAATCAAATTCTAGTATGTTAATATGTGACATCCAGTCAACGTGCTTCTACATATGTTCTGTGAGCTGTTCCCATTTCTGGGTTCTGGATCGTAATCTATTTCTTGTAGACTCTCCATTCCCTACGTAGTCCAGAAATTTATTGTAATTATGATTTGTCAAGTCCAAGGTCTGAACTCTGGAAACCCAGATTGTGAGGACTGACTTCTGTGGATCCAAAGCAGGAAATATATATTTAGTTATTACTTTTTTTTTTGACTTGCACGAGTCTGTGGTCAAAGAATAACTGTGATTAGTCAAGAAAATTTTCTAAATTCCAGAGGTTGGTTTGAACTCGGAAAGTAATGAAGACATTGAGTAAATTGAACTTTATATCAATACAAAATCTTTGAAAGTTAAAACGAGCTCATGGTGAACCTGAGAAGAGATTAAGGAAAAGACAATAGAACATTTGTGAGTGGCGAGATAATGCTAAATCATAGAAAAAGAAAGTGATGCTCTTTTTGTTGTAAACCAGAGAATGATCCCTTGTACTAAGTATAGGATTACTATTCTGATATATATTTTTTTTAATTCATGTATTCTGATAATTTTTATTTGACACAAATTTAGGTTATTATTTTATTTGATATATTAATTTAAGAGATTAAGTCAAATTTTATTTCTAAATAATAACTCACTTTATGGATCCTACATTATTTGAAATGTGTTTTTTTGTTTTCTTCCTTTTAGTACTGCTGTACTGGAGGTAATTACCACTAAATTTTTTAAAAAATAAGGTGACATTTGTCTGAGGGAGAAGCTCTCTAGTTTGATATGAGGTGCTGATGGAGCTCAGGTCTTGCACAATACCTCAAACATACCATTAAAGAAAAAACGGATGGTTGTAGACATGGGAATAGGTGAGATGATACTTAGGAGTTAGGAGGGTTATCAATAGATCCGACAGACCCGACAGATCCGAACTGGATCAACCAAATTTTATAGGTCTGGGCATGTTTAATGTGTCCAAATATAATTGGGTTGGGATCAATTTTCGTTGTTTCGAACTGGTGGAGAGTAATACCTTTTTTTCATGATGTATTTGTAATATCAATATATTATGATGTCCAAATGTGTCAATTTAACAGATGAGTAGGTTTTTCTCGTCAAATTACAGCTCAAGGTATAGCTGTCGATTTTAGTCGGATAGTTCTAATTGCAAACCCTATAGGACCCTGTTTAGTAGGGATGTCAATGGGTCGGGTTTAAATGGTAACCCTGACTTGACCCAACCCTATAGGGTCAGGTTTTTTAGAGTGTAGGGCCAGGTTAGGGTTTTGATTTTTCAACCCAAGTGGGGTTCCAGTTTGGTTGACCTGCCCCACTAGGGCATTGATATCCTACACATATGAAAGGTGTTCTTATAAATTGTCTAACTTCCAGCATCTAACCTTAAAGGTTAAGGTTGCTTTCATGTTTGTTTTGGTTTTTCTTCTTTCATTATGGAGAAAGTGATACCTTCTAATACATAAACCAAATTCCAACTTAAATTTTCTAAATGAAATTGGATTTGATCCTCCCACCGACTTCACAGCACATTGCAGCCATGAATTGGGAGCATCTCCCCATGAATGATAATATACAGATATGAAAGATGTTTCCAATGCACAATGTGCCATGAGGTAGGTGTGGGAAGCAAGTATGGATTCTTTCTAAATGTGTTATATATAAAAAGACAATTGAAACATTGTGGGTTGGGTCGATATCAAGTTGAACCCTATAGTGTTGGGATGGGTTCGTGAATTATGTTACTGAGTTGGGTCAGGTTAGGGTTGAGGCAAACCCATGCCACATCTGACCTATTGGCATTCAGATCCGACCCAATGACAGCTCTGCATAGGGTGGGTCATTAGGTCAATCTGATTTTGTGGATATGGGTGATTGCCTCATCCTGTGGGTGGCCAACCAAAATGACCAATTGGGATGGTTAGGATTGACTGGATCTCCCCACAATGCAAAGCACGTAGAAGTCAGTGAACCGACTCTACCAGCCTCCAGATGCCATCTATTTCTAACTTTCCTTGTTGGACTTAGAATTTTGTAGTCTTGCAGATATGTTTTACCAGTAAAGACTTGAAAGACTGATAAGTTCAAAGGAGATGTTAAGAATACGTGTTGGAATTGGTTTGAAAAATCTCAGTCTGGTCTCTGGTCATGGCCTAACCTCTTTCAAATTGAATTACAAAGTTTGATGCAAATTTGTTCAAATAGGAGTATGCAAACCCAGTTCAGTTTTGCACTTGTAAATTTACAGTGTCTTTTCATTGTGATGGTTCCAAACGTGGATCTCAAGGCTAAACCAACCAATTTTACATTGACATAGTGCAACAATAATTGAAAAAGCAAATCTACTTGTATATATATATATAAAAAAAAACGCATTCTTATCAAGCACTTGCAAAACTGAATCGAAATACAAGTTCACTTTAGTTYTACATTTACATTCTTTCAAATGCAACCAGGAACCGAAATAAAAAGAAAGGGGTGGCCCACTTCTTGGTGGACTAAGCTGACTGTCTTATAGGGTTGGATTACTCTCCTCCATTGGATTGGAATCCAATGATAGAAGAATTAATTTAAGGGTTTATTTTTATATTATAGTATGGCAAACTAGTTAAGAAATTGATTTGACCAAAACCCTTGATGTGTCCATGGCTATGATAGCTACCACTGTGTCATTAGTGTCCAGTGTGAACGCGCGTTCGACAATGATTACTCGCAAAACAAATGACTGGGCCGACGTGGACCCAGCCCAAATACAATCAACTAATGATGGTGGGCCGTGGGTTGCTGGATCTTGAAATTATTGCTGCGTGACGACGAACTCCAATATGAAACCCAGAAACCGTGTATCTCTCCTCCTTCACGTGTACGGAAGTTAAACAAAGCTTTAAGCTTCAAATATTATGGGGCTAGGTGGCCCCGGGTCTCACATGGACCCACATGTCAATTTTATCCATCTTAGATGATCGGTTTTGATTTTTTAATCTGATCTTATTTCATTATTAAACTAACTTATCAACCCATCAGCACTATCAGTGGAATTGCCGAAATATGAACACAAGAATGATATTGACATCGTATTACTGCCACCAAGATGTACAACGTACAACTTCATGTGGGACCCACGTACTGGCCCATCTATCATCTCTGCATCATCATCATCGTTGCAGGAAAGTTAGGATAGGACGAGTCTTTAATTTGAATGCATGGAAATTGATGTTGCTTGTGGGCCCACCGGCCCCACCCCATATTCCAATCCTGTTGATTAGAATAGACGGAGAGTACAGTACGGCCGCGTGAAATGGTAAATGTGGATCCCGCTCGAGCACTTCGAAGTTCGAAATCATCAAGAGTTGAATTGTTGAATTGAAATGATTTAGACTGATTTGTGACCGTCTGAGTCACCTTCAATCAGCTTAGTGCAATTCACAAGATAACAGTGTTCCGGGAATTGGGATCTGCTCCTGTCACAGCGCGCCTCACAGTTACATCCCACTCTGTACTGGAAATATCTCACAAAGCGGGTGCGTGTCACGTGTTTCACAGATGCTGATAACTTAGCACGTGCTGCTATTTTTCACTCGTCAGGCAATGTTTTTGAACCTTCCTTGACCCTGACGATCGAACCGTTCGGCCCGATAACATTTTACTCCAAATTCGATCTCTGGCCAAAGAGCGAACCTTCGTTGACCCCGATGATCTGTTGACTCGGGTAATTAAACAGTTGACCTGTTTGACTGTTTTTTGTGGTATTTTTATTTTAATTATTTTTTAATTAATTTATTTTTTTGTTAGAATGGACCATCCATTCCAATCGGATGATCAAACCGTCAATCCAAAAATCAATGACCAGAACAATTCCTATTCCAAGTTGATTTTCAAAACATTGCTGCCAGTGATATCAGGTTGAAAGATCAAAGTACGTTCTCGAAAATTTGAAAATTCAATTTAAATATCCAATAAATTAATCAAGCGTTGTTAGAACTTAAAAGAAATTATGGCAGGATTTTGTTACAACATCAATTAGGCTAAGTTATACCAATTTCAAACCAAACTATTTTTGGGTTATATGTTATTAGATAAATTTGTATGCTTTAGCATATATCTTAACTTTTATTATTTTTATTCATTTTATTACTCTTAAATGTGACGTAAAAGGCTTTTTTGCTAAGTGACATTTTAGACGAGTTTTTAGGATATTTGTAATTAGGAAAAGCTGAATCTTATCCATCTTAGCATTATTCTTGGGTTATGTATTATCTAATAAATTAAAAGAAAACGAAAAACTAAAAGGGACGATAGAGAGCAAGTTACTTTTTTATTAAGCTAATTTTAAGTATATATATATATATATATTGATTTTAAATAAATTATGTTTTTTATTAATTTGTATCATTTTTTATTAATAAAATAATTTTTCTAAGTCTATTATCACTTTATTATTGTTTGTATTGATAATTTATATTTTAATTTTTTTATAAATTTTTAAAAATTAATTTTACTAATTTTAGAGGAAGTTAATAAAACTAAGTTATTTAATTTGTTTTAATAATAAGTTAATCATGTAAAGTAAGTTTCTGATTTTTTTATTTTCCAATTACTTTATGATTTTTAGTGTTTTCTTGTTATTACTTTTAATATGTTAAAAATTTTATGATTTTTAGTTAACATTTCTCTTATTTTATCGGTTAATTAAAAATTATGGTTCTATTTTTTTTTGTTATTTTTTATTCTTTCAAAAAATCCTTATTTTATCATTTTTTCTATTATCTTCCTTTATTTTTCTATTATTTTCTAATTAAAAAAATCGTTTTTAGTGAAAAATTCCCTTATTTTCTCTTGTTTTCAAAATTGCATAATTAGGTCAAACTAGATTGGTCCAATTTAGTATAAAATGGTAATTAAAGCTAGCGACTGAACGGTTTTGGGGTACTCAAATCACTCGACCCTATTCTTTTTGTTTTGAGAATTGCATAACCGGGTTTAACCAATCAATTAAACTAGATTAGTCCATTTTAGTATCAATTGGTAATTGAATATAGTGGGTTGAACGTTTTTGGGTATTCAAATAACCTGACCCATGAACATCATATTGATGCATAGCAATTTTTAGGTCCTTCATTTTTCTTTTGCTTTCTTCTCTC